AGAGAAATCACCTAAAATAATTACACTTTTTACTGAGCACCCAAATGCATAAACCCAAGAGCTTATTTGAGAAAGAAACCATTTTCTTACTAATTTCAATTTCATTCAGCATCTGTTTCTTTATTAATTTTGGTTTTCTAGCTCTGTTTATTGTTCACATTGTAAGCCCTTTTTACTTTTTTAATATCTGAAATATATTAAAGATATTGTATTTTATAACATAGGAGAAATGATGTGTGGGCATACCTTGTGACCATGTGGGTGGTAGTGCTCTATGCATTGGTAATATATGTTGGAAAATGTTGGCTTAGTTGGTATGTGTAGATATTTGTTGAATAAAAGGAGAACCATTGTTATAAAGCATCTAAATTATGAGAATGGGTGTCCTTTTCAGAATTTTAAATTAGTTTTGTACGTGGATTCTTATAGTGGTAGTAGTGTGTTTGACAAAACATGCAAAAACAGAATTGTTAATATTTTAGCAGTTCAGCTAAAATATTTCTTATATTTCTTATAGCAAAATTCAGCAGCCTGTTTACAACATGTTTTGGGTTGTTGTTTTGTTGTTGTTGTTTTCTGGCTCTTAATAGGACTCTATCTTAGATGAGACAATACTGATGGATTTAGCCATGTGATATATTTAGCAAAATATAAATCGTACTGCACATTGGCTACCTCTCATACTCCTTTCTGGCCACCTCGCAGTGGGAATGCCCTTAGGCCAGAAAGAGTTCTCATCCACAAGGATTATTGCACTCTGGTTTTACAAAGACAGCCCCTCCTCCCCCAGTTTCTAGCACTATCGCACTTGCTCAATTTTAACACATCCTGTATTTACTACTTTGACTCTATCTCCATCTGCTCAATACTCTAAATTCCACCCTGTATCTTAAGACTCTGAGACCCTGAACTTACATATTGCTCATCGCCTAACATCTCATCTCCTGACATCTCTCACATTGCCTGTTACCCCCTGGTCCACATTTCTTCATTTCTCAGACACCCTTGTTTAGAAGATCTTCTTTTCCAACTACATGTACCTCTCCTATCCCCACCCTTCTTTTAAGAAGCAATGTGCTCAGAGACCTCTTTTTCCTTGTTTGTAAGCACAACCCCCCTTACTTACCAATTGTTTCCTATTATTTAATCTGCTCCTAAAAATCTTTTTCTCACAGAAAGCTGTCTTGGATTGCTAAAGTAAAACCTCTTAATTTTTCTGACCTTCAGCCATTTCTAGATGCCAGTAACCACTTCCTCTCCTAAAATGCGGTATGCCTATTATTTGTCCTCTTATTTCCTGAATGTACTTGCCACTGATGACTTTAGATAGACAGATGTACTGCTTCTTTGGTTTTACATTTTGTTAGTTATTCCTCTCTTGAAGCCCCTGGAAGATAGGGACTACATCTGTTTAATTCTTTGTGTATTGCCTCATACAGCCCACCATCACCATTACTACACATGGATGATTCATAACTGCTTTCTGATAATAGGAAACAATGGTTTGATATAGAAGAGTGTAGTGAATGTTGAACATTTGGCATCCATATCGCACACGTTTATACTAATGCAGATTGTGGAGGAAAAAAAACTCTTGGCTTTAGATTTTAAAGCATTTCTTATTTAAGGGAGAGCAGGTGGTAAAATTAATCTTATAAAAAGGTAATTTAATGTTTTTCATATTTGTTAGTTTGTCTCTGTCAAGTCTAGAAAAGCATATTGAAAATCAAATAGAGCTAAAACAGTACTTTGATACATCAATCCAAAGAAGAGTTGATTGTAGTAAATTAGAATTTGTCATAGAAACTTCATAATGCCCAAAGGACTGAAATGCAAGGAGAATGTAGCAAAAGCTGCAGTTGTAGATGTCTTTCTCATGCAAATCATTATCTATGAAGTCTCAGTAATACAGGCTCAAGCAGAAATTGCTAGAGTGATGTCCAGAATAAAAACTGACACTTAAACAACAGAAAGTATTGACTGTTTATATTATAATGTATGTTAACATAATGACTACTGTTCTAAGAACTCCTTAAAGGAAATACTGAGGATTTGTTAACTCTTATTTGGGAACAATTGCTGGGATATATGAGAAAATATGTTTAGAAACTTGAATAGTCTTAAAAGGAAGAAAGGTTTATATCTCTTTTCCCAATCATAACATCAGATTCTCTTAAGTTTAAGTGAAATTTGTTTAAGGCAATAAGACAATTTGATATGAGATTTAATTTGGCCATGAGAGTTCTAGTTTTGCGGCCACCGCAGCCTCAACCTGCTGGGCTCAGGTGATCCTTCCTTCTCAGCCTTCCAAGTAGGTAGAAGCAGACACAGGTGACCATGCCCAGCTAACTTTTTTTTTTTTTTTTTTTGAGTTGGAGTCTTACTCTGTCGCCCAGACTGGAGTGCAATGGCCACTTCCGGCCACTGCAGCCTTCCTGCTGGACTCCGGCGATCCTTCTGCCTCAGCCTTCCAAGTAGCTGGAACTACAGGCATGCGCTACCATGCCCGGCTTATTTTTTGATTTACTGTAGAGATGAGGGCTCACCAAGTTGCCCAGGCGGGTCTCGAACCCGCGGGCTCAGGCAATCCACTCACCTTAGTCTCCCAAAGGCACGGGATTACAGGCTGAGCCACCGAGCCCAGCTCCCAGCTAACTTTTTGATTTGTTATTTATTAGAAACGAGGTCTCACCAAGATGCCCAGGCTGATCTCAAACCCGTGGGCTCAGGCAATCCACTCACCTCAGCCTCTGCACCCGGCCTCTGTTTTTTTTTAAATTTTCAGAAACATTTTTCTTTGTGAATTTAATCATTCTTATTTACCATAAGTCGTTTTAAACAAAACAGTGACCAGATGTGATTTTAAGCTACATTTTATTGCCTCATATCGCACACTTAACTAAAATTATGTTATTGTTAAGACCGCATCCTACTAGTTAGTACTCTTTCTAAGCAAGAAATTAGGAATTTATTGGGATCATCTTTAGGAACTTTTAAGGGAACATAACTGCTTTGTACATGTTATATGCTTCTTGGTGCTATCAACTGGCTATATGACTTGAGTTAATTTTAAAGAGTGGATCCCAGCCTGGGCTCAGTGGCTCAGCCTGTAATCCCAGCATTTTGGGAGGCCTAGGCAAGTGGATTGCCTGAACCCATGGGTTCAAAGACCAGCCCAGGCAACTTGGCGAGACCTCATCTGTACAATAAATCAAAAAATTTGCTGGGCGTGGTAGCGCACACCTATAGTTCCAGTCACTGAGAAAAGCTGAGGCAGAAGGATCCCCGGAGCCCCAGCAGGTCGACACTGGGGTGGCTATGAGTGTGCCACTGCACTCCAGCCTGGGCAATGGAGTGAGACTCCAACTCAAAAAAAAAAAAAAAGAGTGGAGACTGATTCGTGAATTGTGAACATTAGGCTAGAAGATGGGAAATAGATTTTTATTTCCTTGACATTTGCAGAATTGTATTGAGAGATATTACTAGGCATTCACGGAGAAAGAGGAGAGCCTTGTCACAGGTGTAGAAGGATACTTTATAGCCCTCATCCATACTTCAGCATCTACCTTAGCATATTAAAGGGACTGAAGAGAGGCTGCATTAAGTAAATTGTTTGACTTTGTGTAACCAGTTTTTCAAACATTTGATCACAGAATCCTTTGTGCATAGAATACCTATTAGCAGTTCTTTTAAAAAAGTGTTCCAAGAGCAGAATTTGGAAAATGTTGTGCTAATTAACAAAACTCATAGGTCAAAATTAATGCCATTTTCAAAATTCTAATTTACAGCAAAGGAATAAGTTAATTGTTGGGAAAAATCTATGGTGGACTACTTGTATCTGTTTTATCTTATATTGTATTTTTTATACTTTCCTAGGGTAATTTTCAAACATACACAAAAAAGAGAGACGAGTACAATGAACATTATGCCTGCTACTTAAAATAATGGTTCAAATGTTTTTGGACCACCTTTTGTAAATTAATTTCTTAAATGAGTCTGATTCTAATAGTGGAACCCCCATCCTCACCCCAACAGTTTGGAGACATGTGTAAAGTGCTGATTCAGCAGCAGTAGACCAGATAAGAACATGAAAAAAAGAATTCTCAAAGCTAAACCTCATAATAATGTAAACTATTTTTCTCTTCATGTTTTGCCAACTTCATCCACAGGATAAAAGATGGTATTGATATTGGGTGGATTAGTACTAGCTTAATCTAGAGTCATTTTATTTCTCCCTGTTTTCCTTTTTTGGAGTCAGGTCTCATTCTGTTGCCCAGGCTAGAGTGCAGTGGCATGATCCTGGCTCACAGCAACTTTGACCTCCTGGGCTCAGGCCATCCTCCCACCTCATCCTCCTGAGTAGCTGGAATTACAGGCATGTACCACCACACCTGGCTAATTTTTTGATGTTTTTTTTTTCTAGAGACAAGGTCTCTGTGTTGTCCAGGCTGGTCTCAAACTCTTGGGGTCAAGCAATCTTCCTGCCCTGGCCTCTCAAAGTATTAGAATTAAAAGCATGAGTCATGCCTGGCTCCTCTCTTTTCTTTTTTCCTGTGTTTCTTCAGACAGTATTGTATATTGCTATATTGACTCAAGTAAACTGACGGCCTCTGAAAAAAAGGGCAAGCTTCAAGAGAGATTCTCTGTTTATCTGTCTGGTTTTTATATTGGCCTCATCTTAAAACTGATTCCCTAATTGGCTGAGGCCAGGGTTTGTCTCATTCTGTCCATCCACCATGGATGGGAATGTGGGATTGTGTTGAATAAGACAGTGGTTCTGTGGGGTTAAATCCATGATGCCACAGAAATTTTGGTCTTGATAAGAAATGTAGGGAATGAATGCTATGGAAACAACTAGTAATAAATATTATCTTACTCCAAGTAAAGCAAGTTTTGAAAATTCTATGACAGGTTATGCCAAATACTTTTAATGTCCAACAAAATGGTTAGATATTTTTATTTTGAAATATATTAACAGGTTTTTTGGGGTCTTTTTATAGAGGACAAGAATTTTGGGCAGATTTGAATGCTATGAACGTGTATGAAACAACTGAATTTGACCAACTACGAAGGCTATCCACACCTCCCTCTAGCAATGTCAACTCCATTTACCACACAATCTGGAAATTCTTCTGTAGGGACCACTTTGGATGGAGAGAGTATCCTGAGGTATTTACAGGTTCTTTTTTGGAAAAATACATGTAAATGTTTTTCTTTCTCTGTTCTTTTAGTCTTTCCAACAGTCACTAGGCAGAACTACAAATATAACCAAAAAATTTATGCATATAAAATTGAATTTTGTTGATACAAATAAATGTTTTATTTTTCTGAAAATTGATTTCTTTCTATTAATTTGAAATCCAAAGATAGGATACCACTGTTATCAGAGAAATAAAATACTTTCCCCAGAATCTTATGGAGATGGAAATAGGTGGACCTGTTGCTACCTTTGGAATAATTTTAATAGATGAGAACTTATATAACTTATGGTTCTATCTGGATCCTGGGCTTATGAAGATTGGATTATGTGTTAGCAGTTAGCATTTTAAATGCCTAATGGAAACAATCACTCTCAAATCCCCAGAAGAAGTACTTGAAAATGTTTATTGAGCAGTGGTCAGGTAAATCAGCTATTTAAAATGTTGTCACATATGCACTTGTATACTTAGTCTGAGATAGTCAAAATAGCTCATCAGTCACAAAGCAAGGTTTTTAAATGATGATGGTTTACTTTGCCTCTGAATGACAATTCTGAGTCAGGTTTAAACACCCTAAAATGAACTTTAGAGATTAATTTCACATTCTAAAAATCTGACTTCTTCAGTTTGATTAGAGTCATTCCCAGCATTAGATAAAAGAAAGAAAAACCCGAAGGCAACCTTGTATGCTAATTGTTGTAAAACACAATATTAAACTACAATTTCTGACTCTTTTTTAAGTAATCACTAATATTACCTTCCAAAGAGAATAAGTGGCTATTTAAAATGTAGTCTCAGAATACTTGGACTGTTCCCAAGTTTTTTTTCTGAGAGGTTTTTTGGTTTTGAAACTTAATTGGTTTACTTGAACTTTATACACCACCATCTTTAATTCCTTTTCTGATAATTCCCTTAAGAAATATAAACCCAAAAAACTTTGATATCGTTAAAGCTCAAAATAGAATAGAGCAGTTCCCTCGGCCTCACATGTTTCGTAAGGTGGAAATTCATGCTCTTTTGAACAGGGAGCAGCTTTCTACTCTACATCTTTAGAAGGAAAAAAAAATAACATGTAAAAAGAATTAATTTGACTCTCTGGACTTCATTTAAATTCCTCTGAAGTTAACTATTTGTGCCTTTAGTTAAATTTTCATATTTACAGTGATTGTTTATTAACTTGCTTTTTTAAATATGCTTTTTTTCTGTATATTCTATTTTTTACTCCATAGTCTGTCATTCGATTGATTGAAGAAGCTAATTCTCGGGGTTTGAAAGAGGTTCGATTTATGATGTGGAATAACCACTACATCCTCCACAACTCATTCTTCAGGAGAGAAATAAAAAGGAGACCCCTCTTCCGCTCCTGTTTTATACTGCTTCCATATTTACAGTAAGTGTCCAGTGGGAAGTCTCATTTTATTCTCATTTTATGTAAATGCACTATTGAATACTATAGAGAAAAATATTTTAAATTAAGAAGTCATCTTGGTTATTACTTCTTGATTATGAAATTCCAAATTATTCTTCGGATTTTCATTCTTCAACAAATTGAGTTCAAATAAGCTATAATTAACCTAACACTAAAAGAATGAGTATTCTGTTGGGTTTTTTAAAATGAAAAGCGAAGCAGAGTTTTTCTACAACTAAAAGTAATTGTCTGGAATGAAGCAGAGTTTACATTTGCCTCCTTTATGGAAGGAAGATTAAGGTTTTCCTTCCATGAGAGACGACTTTCAAGATGAGACCCTTTTGTGTTATGGAACTAATTCCCATCCCTCGTAAACTGCCAGGGCAAGTGGCACCTTCAAGGTGGTGTTCTCCATTCTTTTTCCTTGAGTGAATTTGAATGGGAGAAATATACCTTTTCAAATAATTTACATTCTCATTTGATAGGTAAGGCGTATCTTAAATTACTTGTCTTAACCCCTGAAATTACTTGTCATATTTACTAAGCCTAAAGTTTGTTAATAAAAGGTTAAGACTGAAATCACCCTTCTGAATTATAGGTGAGTTTTTCTTCTATTTCCCCAAGTGCCATTTCTTACTTCCCTCTCTAGATAACCCAGGGGCACTTTATAGATATCAAAAGGTAGGACACATTACCATTGCATGGCCATCTTTGAAAGTTCATATTGCTAGGGTAGTCACTATTCCAGTTTTATACATATATATATTCCAGTTTTATACATATATATATGTATAAAACTGGAATAGTGACTTCCCTAGCAATATATATATATATAGAGAGAGAGAGCTGGATTTTGAAAATGATATAAGTTTACTTGGTTTTATGAACCTGGAATGTCTAGAGTAATAGATATTCTCTTCTGCTGATCTTTGAGGTAAAGATACTATTTTTATACTCCTGCTTTTTTATTTGAAGCTCAAACTGTGTTTTCCACAAGTTGTTAGGACAGAATCTTAATGATTCTAAATCTGTAATTGCAAGGGGAATGTTGAAAACAAAACACAAATTAAAATCTCTGAAATTATCAGTGTTCAAAAGAAATTTATAGTAAGGCTAATTTTAGAAATGTATATCGGCTTTAAGTGCGTATTTTTTCCAAATCTAAATGTGAAAATTTTACCTTGTAGGATTTTTTTTGGTAGGACTTTTAAAATTAGAACTAATAAAATTGTCATTTCTGTGATTTCACTAGCACAGCTGAAGATAGTGTCAGCGTTCAGTAGTTAGAAATACATTGCCCTCTTGGTGAGACTGTAGAATTTTATCAGTGATACCAGCAGGTTGGCATCCTGAGCCTATCAATCAAGATGTAGCTTCTGTTTAAATTGACAGTGCGAGTGCTGCATTGTTGAGAACGGTTTAGTGAATGGTGAAAATCTATTTGTTTTGGTCCTTTGAAATTATGGAATCCCACCTCCTCCTCTTTATGTATTTATTTTTTTATTTTTTTGAGTTGGAGTCTCACTCTGTCGCCCAGACTGGAGTGCAGTAGCCGCTCCCGGCCACCACAGCCACACCTGCTGGGCTCTGGCAATCTTCCACCTCAGCCTTCCGAGTAGCCAGAATTACAGGCATGCGCTACCACGCCTGGCTGATTTTTTTATTTAATTGTAGAGATGAGGTCTCGCTGCCCAGGCGGGTCTTGAACCCGCAGGCTCAGGCAATCCACTCACCTCAGCCTTCCAAAGGCGCGGGATTACAGGCTGAGCCACCGAGCCCAGCTCCTCTTTTTTTAAATTTAGGCTTTTGTCAAAGCGTGAACTATAAAAATAGGTAGAATTAATGCCACAAATACGACTTCACTGTACAGGTATCTCTTATTTTGTTCTTCACATTATTGCACTCTGTAGATAATTGCGGTGTTTTTACAAACTGAAGGTTTGTGACAACCCTACGTCAGGCATGTCTTTTGGTGCCATTTTTCCAACAGCATGTGCTCACTTTGTGTCTGTGCCACAATTTGGTAATTCTTGCGATATTTCAAGCTTTTTTATTACTATATATGTAATGGTGACCTGACCAGTGATCTTTGATGTTACTATTGCAATTGTTTTGGGGTGCCAAGAATGGTGCTTATATAAAATGGCAAACTTAATAAATGTGTATAGTCTGACTGCCTCACTGGTCATTCCCTGCACTGGTCATTCCCTGCTAAGACAAAACAATGTTGAAATTAGGCCAGTTAACCCTACAGTGGCTTCTAAGTGTTCAAGTGAAAGAAAGAATTGCTCCTCTTTCACTTTAGATCAAAAGCTAAAAAAAAAAAAAAAATGATCAAGCTTAGCAAGGAAGGCATGTTGAATGCTGAGATAAACCAAAAGCTAGGCCTGTTGGGTCAGTTAGCCAAGTCTGTGAATGCACAGGAAAAGTTTTTGAAGGAAATTAAAAGTGCTACTCCAGTGAACACATGAATTGATAAAAAAATTAAAAGCTTTGTATTGCTGATAGGGAGAAAGTTTGAAAGGTCTGAATAGAAGATTAAACTGGCCACAACATTCCCTTAAGTCAAAGCCTGATCCAGAGCAAGGCCCTAATTCTCTTCAGTTCTATGAAGACTGAGTGAGGTGAAGAAGCTGCAGAAGAAAAGTTAGAAACCAGTAGAGGTTGATTCACGAGAAGGAAGCCAATAGAGAGGTTGATTCACGAGAAAGAAGCCATCTCCATAACATAAAATACAAGATGAAGCAGCAAGTGCTGATGGAGAAGCTACAGCAAGTTATCCAGAAAATCTAGCTAAGATCATTGATATAGCTGGCTACACTAAACAACAGATTTTCAATGTAGATGGAACAGCTTTCTATTGGAAGATGTCATCTAAGACTTTTATAGCTAGAGAGAGGTCGATGCTTGGCTTTAAATGACAAGCTGACTCTTTTGTTAGGGGCTAATATAGCTGATAACTTTAAGTTGAAACCAGTGTTCTTACTATTTCCAGAACCCTAGGGCCCTTAAGAATTCTGTTAAATCTACTCTACCAGTGCTCTATAAATGGAACAACAAAGCCTATATTATGGCACATCTTTTTATAACAATTTACTGAATATTTTAAGCCCACTATTGAGACCTACTGCTCAGAAAAAAAGATTCCTTTCAAAATATTACTGCTCATTGACAATGTACCTGGTCATCCAAGAGCACTGATAGTGAGGTACAGGGGAGCTGAATGTTGTGTTCATGCTGCTACATGGCATCCATTATGTAGCCCATGGAACAAAGAGTAATTTTGACTTTTCAAGTCTTATTTAAGAAATAAGGTTATAGGTGCTATAGATAGTGATTCATTTGATGGATCTGGGCAAAGCTATTTGAAAAATTTTGGGGAAGGATTTGTCATTCTGGCTGCCAGTAAGAACATTTATGATTCATGGGAGGAGTTCAAGATACTAACATTAACAGGAATTTGGAAGAAGTTGATTCCAGCCCTCATGAATGACTCTAAGGGAGTCGGGACTTCAGTGGAGGAAGTAATTGCAGATATGGTAGAAATTGAAAGAGAACTACAGTTAGAAACGGAGCCTGAAGAAGTGACTGAATTGCTGCAACCTCATAAACTTGAACAGATGAGGAGTTGTTTCTTATGAATAAGCAAAGATAGTGGTTTCTTCAGCTGGAATCTATTTCTGGTAAGGTTGCTATGAACATTGTTAAAATGACAACAAAGGATTTAGAATATTCCTTTGTGGAGGGGTTGAAGTCTCATTCTATCACCCAGGCTGGAACTATCTATCACGGCCACCGCAGCCTCAACCTGCTGGGCTCTGGTGATCCTTTCACCTTAGCCTTCCAAGTAGCTGGAACTACAGGTGCATGCCACCACGCCCTGCTAATTTTTTGATTTATTGTAGAAATGAGGTCTCACCAAGTTACTGAGGGTGGGCTCAGGCAACCTTCTTGCCTCCGCCTCCCAAAGTGCTGGGATTACAGGCATGAGCCACCATGCCCAGCTCTAGAATATTCCTTAAACTTAGTTGCTAAAGCAGAGAAGGGTTTAAGAGGATGTATACTCCAATTTTGAGAGACGTTCTATGTAAGTAAAATGCTATCAAAGTGATATTGAATGCTACAGAGAAATCTTTGGTGAAAGGAAGAGCCAATTGATTTGGTAAACTTCATTGTTGTCTTATTTTATTGTATTTTATTCTTTTTTGAGTCAAAGTCTCACTCTGTCGGCCAGTCTGGAATGCAGTGGCATGATCACAGCTCACCGCAACCTTGACCTCTTGGGCTCAGGTGGTTCTGCCGCCTCAGCCTCCTGAGTAACTGGGACTACAGGTGAGCGTCACCATGCCTGGCTAATTTTTTTTTTTTGGAGACAGTCTCTAACTATGATGCCCAGGCTGGTCTCGAACTCCTGGGCTCAAGTGATTCTTCCGCCTCAGCCTCCCAGAGTGCTACAATTATAGATATGAGCCACCATGCCCAGTCAATTGTTGTCTTATTTTTAAAAATTGCCGCAGTCATCAACTTGGAGGCAAAACCTGTACCACAAAAGGATTACAACTCACTGAGGGCTCAAATGATTGTTAGCATTTTTTAGCAGCAAAGTATTTTTAGTTAAAGTATAAATATTGTTTTTTAGACATAATGCTATTGCACACTTTAATAAACTATGGTATAGTGTAAACATGACTTGTATATGCACTGGGAAATCAAAAAGTTAATGTGACTTTATTGCAATATTCACCTATTGCAGTGATCTGGAACGGAACTTTCAATATCTACAAGATAGGACTGTATTTGTAATATAGGCTTACGAGACAATAAAAATAGTTTTTCTACTTTATTTTCCTTTTTCTTTTTAACATTTCCTGTTATAGTCTTTCTATATGAAATTGGTAATTAAATGTAACATAAGAGGTCAGCAAATCAAAAAGATACTAGGTAAATACCTCAATAAGCAAAGGGCAAAGAAACAGCCAGTTCACTCCTGTCTACCCGAGAGCCGGCTGAAGGATATTCAGACTGACCTAGTGGGGGAAAAGAGGAGGGGGATTGGTTCTATAAAGCGTATTTTAGAAGTGGATTCCAGAGACCATGATCTTCTCCAGGGAGAAAGTTGTGCTTTGTTTTTAAATGTTATTAACTAACAGAGGATCAAGGAAAAGCTGAGGTGTGAAAGAGGCTAAAAGTCTTAGGAAATCAGAGATGTCTAAGAATTGGGAATACTAGGGCTGAAGGTTGACTTAATTCATGGAATTTCCTACAAATTCAGCTGTTTTTAAAAGGTTTTCTTTGCTGCTTTTTAATGGGGCTGATGAAAAGGAGCTTATTCTTTACTAATCTTAAAATACTTGAACTGAAGCTGTATAAGCAAATGAATGTCAGAATTAAGGCCTTGGGGGTTCATTTCTTTTAGCTGAAAGGACGTCTATCCTCTGCAGTCACCTCATGGTCATGAGAATGCCTGACAAAATTGTTTTGACTCCTCCCTCAGAAGGATAAAATGAATTAATTTTTATTTCATCCCTGAAATTGAGTTAGGAAATATCTTTCAAAATGGTAAGGGGAGGGAAAGACTGTAATAAAAAGTGACCTTGGATTTTGAAAATACATTCTTCAGAGATCCTTGTATGTAAGCTCAATACCCTTCTACTTTGCTCTCTAGAGAAGGCTGGTACAGCACTGTGAAACATGCAGTATGTCTTTGGAATACCCATGAGCTGAATACAAACTGGCATTCTCAGAAAATAAAGGCACTTTTGAAACTGTGCTTGGAATATATCTTTTTAACCCATGGCAGCTAGAGTGCTGAAATCCATCAAACAAATGTGTATTTGCAGTTTATTTTATATGTATTTTGTGTTTTAGTCCAGTTAGGATGTTGACTCATTAAAAGAAAGCATCTGTAGGTGGGAAAAGATGTCAACCATACATATAATCTAATGTAATATCTTAGAACAGATAGTATTTATCTACCCAGGCTCATTTTCAAGCATATGTTAGTAAATAATAGATCTCCATCTATTAAAAAAGGAAAGAAGATAGTTGAAACTTTCTCTTTATGGAACTGGTTCTTGGGCAGGGATGGTATCAGGAAGTAAAGGAGCAGAATCTCTTTTGTTAGTGCCAGGTGTTCAGTACAGCCTGAGTCGATCTAAAACCTGTTTTGGACAGAGTGACTGGGGAGACTCTGACCTTCCTCCCTAAACCCAGAAGACTGAATTGGTAACTTCAACTCCTGATAATAATGGTAAACCAAGTGGGCTGGGACCTGGGACCTACCCTCTTCTTTGCAGTACAGAGATAGAGGAAAGAGCTAAAAAATAAGGAGCTTTTGTCAACTTTCCTGCCATTTCTCCAGAATAGTGATGGCTTTTTAAGGAGGCTCAGAGCTTTGAGAATGTAATTAAAGCAGCGGGGCCTCTCTTCAGAAATATGTAGCAATGAAAAATGTACCATTGTACCAGAAAAATGTACCAGTACTAAAGCTTTAAAGAAATCTGCCAGGTCTCTGAGAAAATGATCCAGAGGACTGTTTTGTCTTCTGTCCTGAAGGCTGGAGAAACCAGCACCACTTTAAATCTGCCCCTGAACTTAAAAGCACCTGGGAAACCCAGTAAGCCCTAGGTCCAACCACCCAGGAATCTGTCTAACAAGGGCTTTGAGGCCCATTAAATTGAAGCCACAGCCACTTGAAGGAGATAGAGGGTTAGAGAAGGTAATTATTTTCCATAGCTTTTAGCTTCTTATCACGCCATCTCTCAAAAGTAAAAAGACTATGTGATGATGATGATGTAACAACAGCTGTGGCAGCAGCAGCAGCACTTAGAATCAGACAAACCTTGGTTGGCATCCTGATATCCCATCTATCGTTTTTCTAGCCTTGTTTTAAAAAAAAAAAAAAAGAAAGAAAAAGAAAAATTGTGAAATATATGATAATGGAAGGAGTGTGAGTTTAGATACTGTATAGATGGGCCTAGATTCAAATCTTCTCTCTGCTGCTAGCTATACTAGAGTATATTATTATTATATCTCTGAACCTCAGTTTCAGAATAGGGATAACCAAGCCACCTTCTAGGTTATTGTAGCAGTTGTTGGTATTTTGTGTAAAATGCCTGGTCCACAGTGTGTGCATAGTATTAGCTGACTATGATTATGATACTGGAGATGGTTAAGATATGCTCATTGGAGATTAGATACATGTTCACAGTTGTAGTCTCTGTGTCACAAAGCTCTTTTGAAAATTTAAGTTTCCTAATCCATTTTGGCAGACATTATTGCTTCCTTGTGACCACTGTGTGCTGATGAATGTTACAGTGCCCTAATCCTGAAACTGGGACTCAGTGTCAAGATTTCCTCACTCTGCTTCTTCCCTTTTTCTGTTTTCAAAATAGCCAAGAAATATTTAATTTTAAGCATTTAATTGGGTAGGAATAAGTAAGGTATCAAAGCTGCTACTTATCTAAATTCATCCTTAAAAGTAACAGACCTGAATTTAAAGACTCAAGGATATGCATTCTGGTGACTAGAGTTTATAATAAAAAGTCAAATAGTATTGGTGGTTTTGTTATTATATGTGACTTTGGAAAATGAAGCAAATGTTAAATATTTGTTAGCTTTCAGTGCTTGCTTCATGACTTTTGTTTGCTTTTATACAGAAATTAAAGTAAGCTTTTAAATTATTCTCCCCAGAGTCTTTCTCTTTGACACTTGGCCTACTGTCTCCCACCCAAAACAGCCTTTAGTGATCATATATTTTTTCTGCTTCGTATCAGCAAAGAAGGCATATGAATTATCATTGTTCCCTGAAACTGTTTCATTATACTGCTAAGAAAAGGAGTCCAGTACTCAGAAGTAAAGATATTTATGAATTGGCTCTTGTCTGTTTGCCTTGCAGCATTATATTCCAAAGTAAGGAGGCCTGGAGGAAGCTAATGATCCGTTATCCATGTATGGCAGCGTTTGCTCTAAGACTTTTTTTTTTTTCTTAAATGGATAGCATTTTTTATTTTAAAACAATAAGTTGTACAAATTATAATATTAGGCACTGCTATAGAGCACTTTAATGTGAGATGAACTTATTTCTTAAATGTTTTGTGTCGCTATTTCTTTCTCTCCATTTTAGGACACTTGGTGGTGTTCCCACACAGGCTCCTCCACCTCTTGAAGCAACTTCATCATCACAAATCATCTGCCCAGATGGGGTCACTTCAGCAAACTTTTACCCTGAAACTTGGGTTTATATGCATCCTTCTCAGGACTTCATCCAAGTGCCTGTTTCTGCAGAAGACAAAAGTTATCGAATCATTTACAATCTTTTTCATAAGACTGTGCCTGAGTTTAAATATAGAATTTTGCAAATATTGAGAGTACAAAACCAGTTTCTTTGGGAGAAATATAAAAGGTGAGTCACAGACGTGAAAAGCTCAAGAGAGCTTTTCTTAATGTAACTAATGTCAAATGCAGAACATAATAGTAAACACTTGCATAGAGTTTGTTTGTATTTTTCTGTATATTAACTGACATATGATTGTCATAATAGACCTATGAATAGAATTATTGCAATTTACATTTTACAGAGAGGAAACTGAGTCATGCAGTTACTAAGTCATGGTGCTGGAATTTCAACCCAGGCAGTCTAGCACCAGAGGCCTTGCTCTTAATCACCCTACTATGTTGCTTCTCAAGTCAACAGACTAATGTAGTAGTACAAAGGGAATATCTGCATATAGGGACACTCCCGTTGGAGGATTTAGACAAGGAAGTCATCCTGAGGAAAGAAAAGATATGTACTAGATTTAAGATGGAAGAGACAGCAAGTGACTGGTTGGTGGAGAAAAGGAAGAGGGCTTTTCTATAGTGAAAAAGATAAGTTTAAACGTGTAATATGATTTTTGATAGCATTTGCCCTTGATAGGTACTCTTATATTTTTTCCCCATTGAAACCATAAAGAGAACCGGGCTCGGTGGCTCAGCCTGTAATCCCGCGCCTTTGGGAGGCTAAGATGAGTGGATTACCTGACCCGCCTGGGCAACTTGGCGAAACCTCATCTCTACAATAAATCAAAAATAGCCGGGCGTGGTAGCACGCACCTGTAGTTCCAGCTACTTGGAAGGCTGAGGCGGAAGGATTGCCGGAGCCCAGCAGGTCGAGGCTGTGGTGGCTGGGAGCGGCCACTGTACTCCAGTCTGGGCAACAGAATGAGACTCCAACTCAAAAAAAAAAAAAAAAAACCATAAAGAGAAGTTTATGACCACATCATGCCTGGAAAATTGATCTGTATTTCTTCCTCCTGAATTCTCTATGTTCTCTTTGCATTAGGAAAAAAGAGTATATGAACAGGAAAATGTTTGGCCGTGACAGAATAATAAATGAGAGACATTTATTTCATGGAACATCCCAGGATGTGGTAGATGGAATCTGCAAGCACAACTTCGACCCTCGAGTCTGTGGAAAGCATGCTACAATGTTTGGACAAGGCAGTTATTTTGCAAAGAAGGCAAGCTACTCTCATAACTTCTCCAAGAAGTCCTCCAAAGGAGTTCATTTCATGTTTCTAGCCAAAGTGCTGACTGGCAGATATACAATGGGCAGTCACGGCATGAGAAGGCCCCCTCCAGTCAATCCTGGCAGTGTCACCAGTGACCTGTATGACTCTTGTGTGGATAATTTCTTTGAGCCTCAGATTTTTGTCATTTTTAATGATGACCAGAGTTACCCTTATTTTGTTATCCAGTATGAAGAAGTCAGTAGCACTGTTTCCATTTGAAAAATCTTGGTACTGCTAAATTATTTGATATGAACTCAATCCAGCATTTGTAGCAGGTTTTGAATGGATGAGACTAGATGGGGAACAGCATTGGACATTAATAGGGCACTTTTCAGACCTATTTTTTAAAGTGCTAGAATGCATAATTTTTTAAGACAAATACAAGTTTTAAAATGACCACTTATTCTTTACTTATTTACTAATTGTTGTTAGTGTACTCAGTGTGGAAAAGACTACAGACTGCATATTCTTTTCATTCACACTTGTACATATAGGCAGCAATGTTATTAGCAGCATTAAAACAAAACAAAACAAACAAAAATAAAAAAGCCTAACTAATTAAATGTGGCTGGTGTCTGGTACAAGTTTGGCTAAATGGATTGGAGGCTGTGAGCAAAATGAGGATTCTATTTATTTATTGACATTGGTAAACCTGACCTAGTACTACCATGCTTATTCCCTGTCCAAAGCATCACTGCTTTGGTGTAGTACAAGTTCATGAAATGTTGGCAGGTGAAAAGAAATTTTTGTTTCTATCCACAGGACTGAAATATCTCACCCAACCAGAGAACATCTGTGACTTTAACTTCTGCAGAGTTTGCCTAAGAATTCAGAGTTCTGTTTAGAGGAAGTTTTTTGTTTGTTTGTTTTGTTTTGTTAAAGGACCCATTTGAAAAATTTTTGTCACCAGCAAAATCATTCACTAGCTAGTTACATGAAATGTGATTTTTGTGTTGTTAAACTTGGAAAACTTAGTCTCTTCCATTATCATCCACTCCAGTTTGAAGGAGTTAGGCAGCTAATTTGGTGGTTAAAGCCAGTCTTGAAGATTAGAAGTATTACTTTCTTTTGGGGTTCCAGACCTAGCCTTTGACTGAATGTTTTAGAGAAAGGAAGTACATCTGTCGCTGAATTGATAAGGCTTATTTTACCGTGCTTTGCACAAAGTAGGTTCTCAAAAGTATTTGCTGGAATTTTGGGTAGATGGCAATCCCACCCCTACACCTGCTTTCCAGATGCAGCTGGGTTCCCTGGCTGCCACTGTACCTTACTTACACTACTTACTTAATAGAAACACAAACCTGGAAATTGTGCCACTGGCCCAACTGGAGCACTCTTAGGTGAATATGCTGTTGCCTCAGTTCAGGGAGGTAGCAGCTATGTACACAACTCCTTAAAAAAAGCAAGTATCTGGATGTACAAAAGTAAAAGTGTTCGTTCACAAAAGAATTCACCATGGAATTCTTTCAGCTACCAAGCTCTCCTGGTATGTTTGTGGTTGTATTATTTACACAAAACTTTTCAGGAACTTCTGTGTTGTTTAAAGCAAGATGTATCTATACTGAGGTCTCAGTGGGTCAGTCTGTTAGCACTTATCAGGGCTTCCACACAGTTATTTATTTTGCCCTAGTTGATCCTGTTGTTTGCTGCCATTGGCATGAGACAGCCAACTGTGGCTGTTATAGTTCTTTCCTTCAGTTATAACTTGTAAACCAGTGATTCCTAATCTTTTTCAAGTTAAGACACCTTACCATTGCTTATTTGATTTTATGAAACTTGTTCCTTTTTTCCTCCCTGAAGAAAAAGAAAGCTTTATGACATATTTATTTTTTTAATAAAACTAAGCAAAAATAAAAGTTATGGTAATTCTTTAAAGCTTTTGTTATTCTTTTGGTTCCGTTTAACATGAATTCAACACATAGTTAATGATCTGTAAGTCCTAGTTGGTTGGTTGGATGAATGTTTGATTGAATGAATGAATGAACATGCCACTTTAACCTTTCTGCTCTGGGAATTCACAAAAAGTACATTATCTGGCAGTCAACTCTAAGTCACAAGAGAGAGAAGAGTCAATATTTCATGTTACAGGTAAGTATTTGGGGGAAAGGGACACATTTTATATAGGTTGAGTATCTCTAATCTGACAATCTGATAATGCTCCAAAATCCTAAATTCTTTTAATTTTTAATTTTTTAAATTTTAGATTCGGGGTACATAGACATGTTTGCTACATGGACATGCTGTGTGGTGGTGGGGATTTGGCCCATCCCCAGATAGTGAACATTGTGGCCCATAGGTAGTTTCTGAACCCTAACTCCTCTCCCCACTTCCTCCTTCTTGGTGTCCCCAGTGTCTATTATTTCCATCGTTGTGGCTGTTTAGCTCCCATATATGAGTGAGTACGTGTGTTTGGTTTTCTGTTTCTGAGTCAGTTTACTTAGAGTGATGATCTCCAACTCCATCCATGTTGCTGTAAAGACATGATTTCATTCTTTTTTATGGCTGCCAAAATCCTAAACTTTTTGAGCAACATGATGCTCAAAAGAAATGCTCTTTGGAGTATTTCAGATTTTCCGATTAGGGATGTTCAATTGTAAATGTAATACAAATATTTAAAAATATGAAATCCAAACACTTCTGATCCCAAGTATTTCTGATAAGGGGTATTCACCCTGTGTTAGCAAACAGCTATAGAGAAAAACAAAGCAGGTTGTCCCTTTCAACATGTGTGAAAGAAATATTATTAAAAGAAATTGTAGAAGTTTTGTCAACTCTTGAGCACCTTAGATCTCAGCCAACTATAAGTCATCTGACTGCTACATATGAGCATCTCCAACAGTACTTTTTCTTTTTTTTGAATTGGGGTCTTACTCTGTCACCCAGGCTGGAGTCCAGTGGGACCATCACAGCTCACCACAGCCTCAACCTAGCTTTCAGGCGATCCTCCCACCTCAGCTCCCAAGTAGCTGGGACTACCGGCACATGCTACCATGCCCAGTTGTTTGTTTGTTTGTAGAGACAAGTTCTCACTATTTTGCTTAGGCTGGTCTTGAACTGGGCTCTAGCAGTCCTGCCTCAGCCTCCCAAAGTGCTGGAATTACAGGCATGAGCCACTTTGCCTGGTGACTAACAGTACTTTTACCCCCAGTGTAAGGATTTTTAAATCCCTATAAACGTGATGCTTTCACTAAGCAATAACTATGGAGTCAGTCTAAATTGGCTAATGGTTTCATGGATTTAAAACATACTAAGGCATTCAGTGACTTTACCAGCATGGCTGTAATTTATACCATTTTAGAAAGCTGGAACTTAAACTGTGGTTAAGATTTTCAGGGAAATAATCTGCAAACTCCCAGAGATATTCCAGTGTCATACAATCCTATAGACAGCAAGATTGTATGTGTGCAAAGTTTATGAATATTGGATCCTTAGAATTATGAATCTAATACCTAACTGTGCCTTTTGATACAAGCCTGTTTTAGTAAATGACTATTTAGTTAAAAATAATCACTAAAGCCTGAAATAGCAACCTTTAAAAATTATTTATTAGCTGGGCTCAGTGGCTCAGCCTGTAATCCCGCACCTTTGGGAGGCTGAGGTGAGTGGATTGCCCAAGCCCGTGGGTTCGAGACCCGCCTGGGCAGGCAAGACCTCATCTCTACAATAAAATCAAAAAATTAGCTGGGCGTAGTAGCGCGCGCCTGTAATTCCGGCTACTTGGAAGGCTGAGGCGGAAGGATCGCCGGAGCCCAGCAGGTCAAGGCTGGGGTGACCGGGAGCGGCCACTGCACTCCAGTCTGGGCGACAGAATGAGACTCCAACTCAAAAAAAAAAAAAACATTTATTATTCAAGGTCTGAAAATGACTAAATTAAAAAGACTGTGTATTCAACAGCCAGTACTGTACTGTCAATTTAAGTTGGATTTTCTCTCTTTTATTTAAAGAAAGGTGACTATAAGACATTTCTAGATTTCCTTAATTGAAATCCAACAGTTGGAATGCAGTTTGGAAAGTTCTACATGGCACTTTAGAATCGAATCCACAACACATTATTACTGTGTGTGGTTTTTTTAAAAATAACTAAGCTCTTCTGTTATAACTGTACTATAGTCTTGGACAAATCACTTAACCTGTCACATGGTTAGTTTTCTCACCTTTGAAATAGACTTTTTTTTTAAAGACTACAAATGATAGTGCTGCAACTTTGAAACCCTACGATGCAAAAAACCAAATCCATTTTCTTTAGAAAATAGGGTACTGTGTCTTAAAAGCAGTCCCATCTAGTCTGTTGATTTAAGTACTCTTGCTGCAGGCAAGCTGAGTGAAATTAAGCAGTGCTTTTTACCTTCTTTAACTTGCTAACCTTAGTTACTTGTAAGCTATCATTGTAGAGAGAAAAAGATGGTATTGAAAGGTTTCATCAGCATTAATTGGTCTTATTGAATGACTTACTTCACGTATCCTTTGGGAGACTTCTGTGTGGAACTGTCAGATGGCAGCTGTTTTGAAGATTTAATCTTACATGAATGGAAGTATTTATGTATTACAGGCATTTCATGAACACTTGCTAAATTCTTCAAGCTAGGGAAGCGGTGCCTGGCCATTTTAAGTATGTCAAAATTTCAGGAACTCGCATGATAGTAGTTAATTACCTGATGATTTATAAAATGCAAAATGACCAAAAGCTACTAGGAATTGAATGATCCTTTTTAAGCAGACTTGCATTGCTCATCACAGCCATATATATCTTCATTTGATATGTGGGATATACTTTGTCTACAGACATATTTGTTGCACAAGTGGATTAAAGGGCTCCATTTGATAATTCCCATAAGCTGCTGGGGTTCAAGTTAATGGACTGGGAACCACCGGACTAGACTATTTCTATTTACAAGTTTAATTTCCTTTTATAGCTAGGCCTGTCTCCTTAATTATGCCCAATCTTCAAATAGTCTTACTCAAACCAGGTAACTAATAGACTCAACCCAGTTCAAGAGCCTCTGGCCCTCCAAATGCTTAGCAAGTCTCAGGTGCTGAGTTGTCATTTGGTGGACCCTGTGTTAGATATCTCAGAACTGCACTTGGAAGTGTTTCACACTTCCTGTTAAGGACTGCACTTAACAGGTTACAGGCAAGAGTGCACTAAACAGGTGCTGCTCAACTATTTGATAATGTGGCACTCTCCGATGCAAATAAATTCTTATGTAGCCATCAGTTTGTAAATTGTTTTTTGAGCAGCAGTGATCAATTTGGGGCATTAGTCCGCAGTTTTCTGACAAAGTTCCCACTTGAAGGTCACACATTTTATAGTATCTTGGTCAAGGGTTTAAGTCATAGTTTCTAAGTTGGGTGCAATTTCATATAGGGGTAACAACCTTAAGTCCAATTAGCATTGTCCTCAATGACCTAAACTAATTGAACCCAGTGTCTATAAGCTTTAGTTTCAACCACTCATAAACATAGCTGGACTTATATGCACATTTTTCTGCATATGACTATATTTATGATCACATCGTTCTAAGCTTCAAGTTTCTAGACTTATTTATAATTAACTTATAGGCATATGCAACTCAGTACCAGACAGGAGTGGGAATGCAGATTTCGTGAATCATTGTTAATCAATTTTGTGATAAATCACTGTCGCTTATCAGAAACCAATGGCTTAGTCACAAGCGTATCTCTACACATTTTCAGTATACGGTTTGTGGACAAATTGAGATCATGTAAAACAGTTAGGACAGTGCCTGACTCAGACAATCAAATGTTAGCCAGTGGTAGTAAGAATGATAGTAGTGGGAGCAGCAGGAGGAGTAAGTAGTGTGGTAGGCTGAATAATAGTCCTCAAAGATGTCCAAATTCAAATCCCAAGAAACTGTTGACATGCTGCCTTACATGGCAAAAGGACTTCACATACTGATTAAGAATCCTGAGATAGAGTATCCTTTATATAGTGCCATTTTTTCTTTGTTTTTTGTTGGGGTTTTACTCTGTCTCCCATCCTGGAGGGCAGTGGCACAGTCACAGCTTACCGCAACCTCAACCTCCTGGGTTCAAGCAGTCCTGCCTCAGCCTCCCGAGTGAATGGCTGGGGCTACAGACATATGCTACCATGCCCAGCTCATTCTTTTTTAATTTTCTGTAGAGACAAGGCCTCACTGTGTTGCCCAGGCTGGTCTCAAACTCCTGGGCTTAAGGAATCCTCCCATCTCAGCCTCTGAAATGGATTACAGACGTGAGCCACCACACCTGACCTTTCTTTTTTTCATATTATAAGAGTTAAAAAAAACTTTACAGTAGCATCCTAGTGGACTTCCATTTATGTCTTACCATCCTGAGTTGCATCATGAGACCAGACCTAAGCCAGTCCCTGGTGAGGGGGACAGAACCATTGTGAGTGCTTTAGACAAACCAAAGCAGGGGAGCGATCCATGAAGCAGGTAGTCACCCACACCTGAACAAGACTGAGGTTCTGTTTGCAAAGGAAAAAGAAAAAACTGTACATTTTGGTCTACAGATCATAATTTGCCAACTGTTACCCTAGTATAACATTCTGCAACTTCCCTGAGTCTTCTAGGACCACCTGGGAGTGTGAAAAACAGGTTCCAAATCCTTCCTCAAACCTCCTGAATTTTGACAAGCACCTCAGTTTATTCTGTGTGTGTGTGTGTGTGTGTGTGTTGGAGTCTCACTCTGCCACCCAGACTGGAGTGCAGTGGCCACTCCC